ACTTATGTTTAAGGAGGATAAGATTGGATCCTTTTTAATACTTTTATGAGAGATGTTAAACTATGTGATAGACTAGAAAAGGCGGCGCCCTTGAAAGAATTAATATATACTGCCTCCGCTCCTAATTATAAGATCTAGTTAACTAATTTGAGGAAATTAAGGGAATAAGTTAAGTTAATTATTTGTGATAAATAAGTGTTATCTTTCTTAAAATATCATTGCTAATCAAGTATATTGGTTAGAACCACCATTGTTAGAAGGACTACCTTGGAAAAAAATACATATGAGAGACAAAATAGATTAGGATATTATATTTAGGACCAAAATAAAAATCAAACAAAATCTTATATTAAGGACCGGAGGTAGTAGTTTAAGAGCAAAAATTTCTATTTAATTAAACTTAATTTACTTTAAAATGTAGATATGGAAACAAGGAGAGTCGAATACAAGAAAACTTGAAACCACATAGTGGAGACATATATAATTCGGGAAAAAAGTTGTTAAGTAACAATTAATTATAGTAGTATCAACAACAACAACAACAACACACTTTATTAGAATTGTCGGCTTAGAGCTCAAAAGTAAACTTATCGATCTCTATTCAACAAGACCATCTTCTTAACGTTGATTCCTTACCAACTCAACTAGTTTTTCTGCTGACAAAATATATATATGCCATGATTATATATGAAGCAATCAATATATAATTCCATGATTGTATCCAGCAGCTAGCTGGCTAATTACACTGGTTTCTCTCCGTTCTTTTTTATGGATTGGAAATAAGAAAATTAAATAGACCAAGCTATAAGTTGTTTTTTTTTTTTTTTACTTTACTTGAGGCATACTTGTAAATATTTCCATATAACGAAAATAATTAAACAAGGGGGGAAAAAAGCAAACCCAAACTCACTTTATGGAAAAAAGTGGGTAACCTTAAAAGTCGGTGCAAAATCTTGATGATAAGATGAAGTTAAGAAAAAATCATGGTTGTGTCTTTGTGTGGGCAGAGGCCTAAGTCCTAAGCAATATGCGTATAGCATATATAATGTGTCACGTGTGTGTATGTGTGTGTTTAATACATAGAAGACGAAGCAGTTATACTCAAGCTTCCATTCCTGTGGGACATCCACCTCGCGCCGCCATGCATGCATCTTGCTGCAAATTGTTGAATCCCAGGAATATTTTTTAAGTACGATATTATTTTCAATTAAAACCCTTTAAGATAAAGCCGATGAAACTTATACTTCATTGTTAAGAATTCCACCTATATATGCTTTTATCAAGTAAGAACATCTATTATTATTTCTGTACAATTTGACTAATGAATAAATTGTGCTACGTACCGTGCAACTAAAGTTATATATAGCATCCAAGCATATACACAGCCTCCTTAATTAATTCATTGAAAACTGTTATAGCTCTTGCACCTTCAGTTCTTATCTTTAAGCTTATCTTTAGCTTGTAATGCCTTGTCATGCTACATATTTATCTAGAGTCTTATTGGTTTGAACTATAGTCAACCACATTAGTGATAAGAGCTAGCTAGGTTAGCCACATGGGCCTAGTTAATCCTATATAGTCATCCTCATGCGCCTATCCAAGAAAATGAGAAGAAAAGACGTTCCATCCACTCCTCTTGCATTCAAACTTGCTTCCTTTTGTTGAAGAACTAAAATATAAGTGGGACATGTGGGCACAAACTACTCCAAGTTTAAGTTTTGCAGATCGAGGAGCATGAAAGATCCATTTTTGTCATTATTAGAAGGATCTGATGTGTTTTGTCTTGTCATTTCGTTTTCCGAGCGGGAGTCAAAATAATTACAAGCCATCCAAATGGGAGATCCATCACTCACGCTTAGCTCATCGGTCATTGCTCTAGCTAGTTGTAAGGGAGCCTCATTGTCGGTTCCGCGTGCAGGCTAAACCTCAAAATGATCATAGTTTCATAGAAAAGATAACTTGTTTATGTCACTAATAATAATGTTTGGTCGGGAACAGACCCCACACTTGGCACCAAAAAACAACGACCTCACACCCACCTCCTCCATATCCGTCTCTTGAAAGCCTTCTTAGTCCTTACACTTTCTCTGAGTGTATCTTAAGCCTCCGCTTGAACCCTCTTTCTCTTCCTCTCCTAATTCCTTCCCTCGGTCATCTAAAACCCAGAACCACCATGAAGAAGATCGATCTAATACTCAGAAAGTGCAAGAGCTTGTCCAGGCAATTAGGAAGAACATCCTCGTACAGCAGCCTGAGATCCAAATCTACCAAGGAAGATGTCATGTGGAGAAGCCAAGAACAAGAAGACGAGCACAGTGTAATTATATATGTTGGGAGTACGAGGAAGAGGTACGTGATAAGCTCTAAGTATCTGAACCATCCTCTGCTGAATGCTCTGATCGATAAGTCGAAGCAAAAGGAAGATGTGTTGGTGGTGAACTGTGAGGTGGTTCTTTTTGATCATCTGCTGTGGATGCTGGAAAATGCAGATCCTAAGTTTAGTTCTGAGTCTTTGGAAGAATTGGTACAGCTCTATGTGTTCTAATTAATTAAAATTCTATATTCTTGTGTCTCTCGAGTTTTTTTTTGGTCCTTATAATCTTCTTATTCAAGTTAGCATCATCTCTAATGGTTCTACATTGCCCGGTTCCAAGTTCTAACTCATTTCTTGGGCTCCATATATGATTCTTTCATCATGCTAATGAATAAATGGCCTTTACGCAATCATATTATGTTTGTAGTGTAGATTCTGGGTTTTAGTGTAGCAGAGATCAATTGGAGTGTACAGGCCGTACAGCCATGCATAACTTTGAAACAAAACCGTTAAGACTCTGCGAGAAACCATGCTTAATGCTAGCTATTCATCCTTTATTCCCCCCCCCCCGGCCCTCTCCTTAACTCAGTAGTTCTAATTAATCTGGAAGAAGTTCCATTTCTGGTTCATCAAATGTAATCAAATCAATTTATCTAGCGCAATCGAAATAGGTATAGAGGCATGGATTGTTCATTTGATCGATGATAAGAGGAAATTATATATCTTATTACTTTTTTAGTGCTAAATATCACCATCTCTGACTTTTAATATAAGAACTAGATAACTAATTTTGAAATATTAAAAAAAATTAGTTAAGTTGGTTGTCTATCACAAATATGTGTTGATCTCTCTAAATTATCCTCTTTAGCCATGTGTATTAAATGATTGGAATTATCTCTTGGTAAGAATATTTTATAATTAATAGGGATATTTTAAAAAAAAAAAAGAATAGACAAAATGAATTGTCATTTTATATTTAAAACTAACTTCAACTCTCAACTAACTTATATATTAAATACCAGAAGTGGTATTATGATAAAGTAGTAATACATAAAATTAAACTAGTTTATTTCTTTTAAAGGGTGCCCTCATGCTTTTGATAGACATGGAAAATTCAAATTTTCAGAAGTATAAGGAGCTGTATAAGATGTTTGCATAATATATATATATATATATATATTTATATATATAGAAGTTTAATATTTGTGGATTACGTCTCTCTTAGTTCCTATGTTTTATAAATAGATATATATTTTTTGCCAAGTTTATAAATAGATCTCTAGACTAGACAGATTAAAGTCTAGCTCAAACGTAACTGAATTGAATATCTTTTTGTTTTACAGCATATTTTCATATATTTAAAAAAAAAAAAAAAACACCCTAAAGTGTAACTATATGTCTACGAAGAATACTTCTTTACATTTTTTTGAATTTCTTTTAAATGTGCCATATCCAATTATTTTGTATGGCGACATAAAATTAAGGTTGTTCTTAAAAACACCACCTAACTATATTAGAATAAAGCGACAGGTGGATCTTTAAAATGTGTTAGCAGATTTAGCAATGATGTGTCCACCAACTCAGACTCATTGCATTTTTATTAATTTATTAGCTATTATTTACGCAATATTTAAGGATTAAAAATTATGATTACACATTAGAAAGGAACTATTTGCGCGTCAGGGAGGAAGCTACCATAATTGTGATCCGACAATTTTAAGCTGGAATGTAACATCTTTATTGTAATAATGAGATCTAACAATAGGAATGTCATTCATAGATCTTAGCATATCAGATATGAATTAGTGATCCCATAAATTTATAACATGTGGTTTAGTAGCATCTTTATTTATTTTTTGAGACAGCGCGTTTAGAATAACTTATAAGTAGCTTTTCAATCGTGATTTGCGAAATATAAAGTATGTATATGAGAATAGTTTTATCTCAATTCACCTAAAACGTGCTTATAAGTGATTTTGAATACTATCCCAAACAGACCCTAAATGGGCTTCTCTTAACTTCAGAAATAAATAATATAAATTAAAATATGGGTAGACTGAGTACATTTTAGTATGCATATTTAGCGTGCAAATTGGATCAGCTAATGATTAAGCGTTATCTCATCGCTTGAGCTTATGAAATTCAAACATTATGTGACATTATAAGTATTTATTAAAAATAAAACGACTTCAACTTTAATTAATTATTAAGAATAGGTATTCCTTTACTCAATTGCCAGGTACACTTTAATAAAATCAATGCCTAGGTGGGACAACTAAAATTAACGAGTTATTTGATTAAAAAGCTACTAGCTACCCAATTTTATCAACCGTATGGAGAAAATATTTTTCACAAAAAAAAACTAAATTTATAATATCTATTAAAGCTCTATCATTACATCACTTTAAAAATTATTATGTTTATTATTAAAAAAAACACAATAATGTATCTATAGAAGTATCTTTTCATTATCTTTATTTATTTATCAATATATGACAAACTCGACATCTTTTTTTCTCTTACAATGCATGGGGAAAATGATAATTGAAAAATATTTAGATGGCACTCACTTTTTAAACATTTAAATCCTGCTGAAAAATTGAAAGAATAAAAATAATTGCCCAGAACTGGTAAAAGAAGTATTTGATCAAAACTCTCAGTATCCTCCTTTTTCATTTTCTTATTTAAGAAAAATCAAATCTTTTAAAGTGGCCAATCTCTGGTGTTCATACCCTTCACCGGGAATCATCAAACTACCGCAACACATACTAAATTTTTTTCCTCGAGTCATGAGTAATTGAAATAATAAGCTGAATTTATAGAAGTTACTCCACGCAGAGAGAGAGGTGAAATGAGATATTCATAGAAGCCTAACAATTCTTTTTTGTCAAAGACGCCTGACAAGTTTAAGGAGTAATTATTCAGTTGATTTCTCTTTCTTCCAAGAACAGGGGCTTTCTGAAATCTAGGTCCCCCAATTCGCCACTTCTTAAAGGATGCCATGGAGGATTGAGCTGCCTCATACACTACAAAAAGTATGGGCATAAATTAAGCTACACTGATCAACCTGCTTCAATAAAAGAAAAATGTGGAGCTGTAGACGAAGATAGTATATATGTTTTGCTCCAAAAGCAGAATAATACTCACAATTGATCTCTTCGTTTGTTAGGATTGACCAGATTTTGGTAGCCGCTGAAAATGCTGCAGTATGCGCCTTGGTGAGTAGTTCCTTGTACCTATTCTTAAATGCAGACAAGAGCAGAAATCCAATTGTCCTATCGCCAACCCTGCCATTAAAAGAGAACGAAACTATTTTTACCCGAAACAGAAAAGAAAACAAAACCTACTAAAACTTTGGAATTATTTGATAGTTGAATGTGTGCTTCTCAAATCACATAAATAAACCAGTGTTTTCAATCTTTTATTTATTTTTTTTTTTTGGGGGGAGGGGGCGTTTCAAATTGTGAACCTTGACTCCATAAATTTCTAACTCACTGGCAATAGCATGAAAATAATGTTCTTTATAAGTTATTCATAATTTTTTGTTTTAAATATGAAATACATAATCAGACGTATTTAATGGTATGTGCAACCAATAATTTACAAATCACTGGACACCTCGTATTGATGAAATTCTTCATCTAAAAACAGGGAAAAAAGAAATCATGTAAAAATACAACAAGAGGATAAAAAAATTTCCCAAGACAAGTCACTTAATCATAGATCTTGGATGTTTAGGCAAATTACAAATGGTCTGTGACCACCATTACTCATTACCCAAGGTTTAGGGGGCCTTGAATTATATCATTTCATTTATTAAGGTGCCACGAGGGTAGGATAAGGATGGGGAGAAGGCAGAACAAAAAAGGTTGGTAGCAATTTCATTATAGAGGCGCATGCTCAGACACAGTGGTAACCAGTAATTCTTTGGCATTTCATCACTCTTCATTTGAAATTTGGTTGTTAAATTGAAAACTATAGTAATGATGACTTGAATGAAAATGTTTTCTGCATTGTGAGATAGGACAGACTGAAAGTTTTGGCCCATCCAAGGTGTCGAGGTTGGCAGCAACCGCATAATATTATCTGACATAGAACCGTAAGCCTAAGTATGTGTCAGTGGCAATATGACAGTAAGCTCAGAACCTCAGTGAAATTAACAGCCTTTTGGTAAGCAAGAAACTGAAAAATACAGCATAGAAGAGACTTACACGGGTGCTATCTTGCATCCAAATTCATAAAAGAATGGACACCGAGACCTCAGATCCACACTGGCACAATCAGCCTGAATCTCTAGTCTAGTTCTGAAATCAAGAGACACCAACTATTACGAGCAGACGCAGGCATAAATAAAGCAAACATTTTATAACCTAACATCAAAACTGATCCAATATTAACTACAGCATTCCTCTTGTACATCGGGACACAACTGCAGATGATGATTTGGGCACATGTTCTGTTAATAATGTTCATAACTTTTATAAAAGCAATGGAAATTCATCACTATACACATTCAATCAATGACAATTAATCAGGACCTAAGAAAAAAGGTTGAAAAATAGCATTGGATCCAAATCAAGTCAAAGTCATTGAGCAAATAATGCTAAATTGGCATTGCTTCTTAACTCATTGTCAATGTAATGATGAATTTTAAATATTACAAGGAGCGAAGCCTATATATTGCTAAAAGAGCTATGATTTGATAATTACTTTTGATCAAAACAAGAGGGAATGTTGATCGATACTACTTGTCTCAATTGTAGCTCATGAGCGAGCCAGAAAGGCAGCTCCACCTTGGAACCTGTTTCAATCTGAAAGTCAAACATGCTAGAGTCTGGTTAAATCATTAGAGTAACATGGTGCAACGATTTGTTTTTCAACCATGACTGATCAGCAGCTCTTACGTAATCATTTTCAGAACTGGGATCTATTCCCACTCCTGACGCTGCCTTTTGGAATATAACTGATACAATCTGTAGCAAGAACATAACAAGTTATAGTATTAAAATAAGAAACTGATCAGGGTAGCTCTATACAGATCAGCAACTGTATAACTCAAAAACATCAACTGAAAAATGAAAAAGACTGAGAGTAAACAAATCATTACGTTTATTCTTCAATGCCAAACAAGGATATATTACACTTTTATCCTGATATTTGTTACTCCAAACTAATACGTCTTCAGAAACATAGCAAGTTTAGGCTAACTACTAAATCAATTCACTTATTTACAATATTATTCTTAAAAACATCTTACTAACATCCCTCATTCAATTTGACGTGCTAGAAATAAAGGAAAGTATATGAGAATTTAAGAGTCTGATGACTACCTCTTCCTCTGTGATAATGTCATCAATGTCATAGTATTTTGTCATCGTAGACCTCCAGATTGCTACTCTTTCACTTTATATTGACCCATTAAAGACAACTTAGTGGAGAACTGCACACGAACACCAGAAAAATATCAGTGCATTGTGATCTTTAATCTTATTGAACAGATAATGTTACTAGGAGCAATCAGCCAAAGCACCTTCACGGCAAAGAACTTGATTTGCTTTATTTGCTAGCAATAAAAGAAATTTAAATAATTTTGATACAAAATGCAATCTGGTAAGACGCCATCACCTATTGCCCCCAAAACTCAAAGAAGGAGACATAAAAGAGTGGTGAAAAGGCAGAAAAGGTGGAACTAATGGTTTAGAAGAAAAGCCAGCCAGGTAGTCATGATGAATAGGGCAAGTGAAGCAATCAGAAAGTTGGGAGTGGATGTACATAGAGAGGAGTTTGGAAGGACGAAAGGGGTTCTAGAGTTTCTGTTCTGTTGATATTGTAATGTCATTGTGTGTGGTTTGTATCTTTCCTCTTTTATCCTTTGTGTAAGAATCTGAAAGTGTAGTCATTTTCCTTCCTTTACAGTGTCATTTGTATTAGAGTGGGTTTTGTGTAATGTTATCTGTACCAATGTGGTGTATAACATCTAAAGTAATGTATTTTAGCTTTAAAGTGTCATCTGTGCGTAAGTCGTTCTTTATATGGCCGAAGGTGGGCTGATCTGGAAGTGTTTGTTGAGAGACCTATGACAATCCGCGTATCCACATGCATTATCAAAACAAAATTCAGGCATTAATTTGAAACCTGCACGAACATGAAAACAGCTAACTCGTACAATTTCCGTGGAAGACCAGTTGACTTGGAATGCTTTACCAGAGTCACAATCATCCCAAGTTAGAGGACACGAAAAGAATTTGGACAAGCAATTAGGGCGCAAGAAGATCAAAGATTCAAGAAGATAACAGAAACTATGGAAGAGAAATGTCAAAGAACTGAAGAAATTTATAATTTTCTCAATACAAACGCAAAATAAACATAGATGAAAGATACCAGATATAAGCCAGAATCAAATCCTTCCAAAGTACTGAGAACGAATGACGACGCCTCTAGAGTGAGGGATAAGGTTTGCGCGGGAAAAGGGTCTTCCCTCCTCCATCTGCCGCGCGGCGCCGTTTAAAGATGACTTTTGCGGGAATAATAATAATAATAATAATAAACTCTGATTCGATTCGGGTTGGATTCAGCCCGCAAGTGGGCGTATCTCAGAATAACTCAGCCCAATTTTATTCGGTGCGGCGCAGCCGCTTTCTTTCAGTTGGATTGGTTCTCTCTTGCTGTAAGTTTGGACTGACTCTTGCTGTAAGCTTGACGCATCTCTTTAATTTTTCTTTTTTAAATTTTTTTTGCCAACATTACAAATTTACTTCTGATGAAGTTGTGATTAAATCATACATGATACTTTTATATTTAAATTTTTTGAACTGTTTGTTGTAAAAACAAGAATATTTTTAAGTGATATGGATTTTTAAGAAAAATGAGATTTAATTATTAACCTTGTTATTTCCATATTTTCACTTTCATATTAATTTACAAGTAATAATTTATATTTGCAAAAAAATAATTTTTTAACAAAAATAATAAATGGAGTGAAAATTTGTGCAGTAGAAATAAAAAATTAGACATATTAATAGGCCTTTGTTGCTTCCACGGCCTTCCTATTAGTGATGCGATTAGTACTTGTGCTTTCGCATGAACTAAAATCTCTTTATGTTGTTTAAAACTGTCAGCTTAAGATTGGTTGAAGGCCTTGTTATGTTGCACGTACTGCTCTGGATTTGGGATTATGCATGTACGTTGTGAAATCTCTAGCCATTTTATATGTCAGCAATGTGTTAATAATATAAGATATATTAGTCACCTCAAAAAAAAAAAGATATATTAGGGAGAGCACGAGACTTGGTGAGATATATATGGTAATCAAGGAAGTAGTAAGGAAAGGATCACATGAACAAGTACATAAATATACGAATAGGATCCAAGGGAAGAAATAAAGATCCTTAATTATAAGTTGAATATTGATGAATGAGGTGAGATCAGAAACAGCAGCAATCCAGGAAACAGCAGCAACAAACAGCAGCAAGACTGCAATTACAAAGAAGAAGGGAAAAAAAAAAAGAATAATTATTTTAGACGGCAATTATTACAGGATATATGTATGTACGTATGTATGTTTTGGGGATTGTTATTGAGGGCACATGAAAGTAGGAACATATGTATATAACGCAATGCATACATACCAACCCTTCCAGAAGTCATCACCCCTACTAACAGTCTGCTGTTGGGACGTACCGTTTGGGGGATACCCCACAGGTGAAGGATGTCCTTCTGCACCATATATATATATATCATTGCATCTCATAATCAATTTCACTCACAAATATATAAAAAAGAGAAACTTACAAGGGAGTGAATGTTGTTGATTGCTGGGACTCATCATGGTGATGAAGCAGAAAGGTGTAGCGGTGAGAAGATGAAGAGAGTGATTATATTGGAAGGTGCATGGAGAGCCATTTATTATTATATATGTATGTATGTATAGCTAAGTGTATGTGATGGGCTTATGTTTTTAATTTGTCTGCATCCAAACCAGCACGACGGTGCAACCGATGCTCCTCCCTTTGTTGTTTCTGGCCGAGCGAATTCATTTATCAAATCATCAAAACCAATTCTTCCTATGCTCTCTCATCAGTTTCTCTTGTCTTTCTCACTCTTCCTTTCCATCAACCACGCTATTACATTCTACAGATACAGATACATGTGGCGAACATATCGAAGTAGAATGATATAATTATAATTGAGGACTTTGTACGAAAATTAACACAAAATATGGATATGTTCACATCTCAGACTTCAGAATTCACAATTTAAAAGTCCTCATTTTACATCAATTCTTTCTTTTACAAGGTTTTTAATTGTCATCCTTTCCATAGTTTTCTTGGGACACGTAGTAAGTGAAGATATATATGACCTGCTTGCACCAAGGGGAGAGAATTAAAGTTTTTTGCTGTTCATGGCCCGCAAGTTAGTTTCTCTCATTATTGGTGAGATTACCTGAAAGCTACTGAATGGGCCAGGAAACCCACTTCATCACTTGGTGGGAACAAAAGCCTTTCAGTGTACTATTACCAACAATAATGGTTACAGTGGGGAACCCAAAAGAATAGTATTAAACACCCTCCACTTAACAAGCTGATGAAACTTTTTAATCTTTTCACATCTCACTCATGCTCATACATAGTTGTCAGTCACTCGGATAAACATGTGTGTGTGTTTGTTTGATGCAGAAAAAGCTCAGCACTGTCATTAAAAGATGGTGGGTGTTCCGACGAGGGAATCCCAAAAGCATATTAGCAGACATATACATATACACACACACATATATAGTATATGTATATTTCACTCAGACAAACCCAAAAGTTGGAAGTACAAAGTTATGAGCCAAACCAGCAAATTTGGTTCCTGGATCTGGAATAAGCATCTTTTTTTATCGAATGCATAGCGTGGGATAGGAGATCAATGAATGCGAAATGACCTGCTGTTCCATTGTGGGGATAAGGAATATATATATATATATTATGCACATGGAATTATGAAGCCCCATGGCAGAAGATAGATATGTATTGGGAAATGCATTCTTCAGTTGGGGGAAAGTATTTTACTAACTATTCCATTGACCACGTCTCTATGAACCCCATTTCCCAAAATCTCCCAACTTTCTCTTCCAATCAGCTTTCACTGGGAATTGAATTCTGATAGTGAGGTTACACGCATCAGTAAAAAGATATGGCCAAAAAAGAATCAAACGGTACTCTTACCTTTATTATTTTTCAGGACAATAATATTGGGTCCACTTATTCCACCCTTCCCATGAATGAATGAATGCAATCTCTTTCGGACCTAACGGTCACTTGCTTTTGCTAGCCATCAATAGATGTATGCAAACCTACCCTCTTTTTCAAGTATCAGATCTCCACAAGTAAGGTATGTTTCCAACACAAGATATAATGATAGCTCAACTTATTTTAAGTTTGTCATCATATGCACCCTTCAATTCGAATCAAGTGTGATCGATCTCGAGTTATAGTTTACATGTCTATGTGATGGGCGTTGTTAAATATAATGATACTAAACGTTGTATCAGCAATCATCTATATATATATATATATATATATATATATGTGAAGGCAGTAAATGATCTTGAGATAACGTTAAAGGAACAGACTTGTTCGCACCAAACCACAATATTGGAAGTGATCCTAAAACCAAACTTTGAAAAGCAAGCTAGGAAAAGGAGAGAAGGAACTGTTTGTTTCAGTTTCACGACGAAGAACCTCATTCATTAATTATCACCAACCTCTTTTTCTCTTTCACGCACACTGACACACACATAGAAAGAGAGGATTGACATATTCAAAGTTTGGTTTTTATATATTATATGCCTGAATTGTGGAGGAGATGAATGAGATTCCCAAAAAGAAGAAAGAAAGGGAGAGATTCTCAATAATGTGGAGTCATGGCATGGAGGGGTGGAGATCACATGAAGAATATATATATATATATATATATATATATATATAAACTTTAAGTTGAAATGAGAAAAAGAGAGGAGGAGAGAGAGAAGATGGATGCATAATAAAGAAAAGTATATATTTCGCACACACAAGTCAAGATGCAAACGATTTGCCCTAAAAAGGAGGCAAGCACAAACACACATGATCCCCCTAAAATATATAATAATAAAGCAAAAGCAGGTATCAAAATGTAGTTAGTATTTTTATGACTTTGCTTCCCGCAATCCTCCTTTGTTTGTCCAACATATGTCTACTTTTCCATTCACTGCCATCTAGTTGCTGGTTAGATTAAAGTAGGGTCAATATGGTAATATACACAGACCTTATATGGGCAATAATGGAGTTAGGGCATTGAAAGGGAAATGGAGAGAGTTGAGGGGATGGAATCAATCTAGCTACTTGTCATCTACTTCAAATCAAATTATATCTCTCTTGAAGTCTAACCCTCACTTTAAAGAAACCTCACGATAAGCTTTAATTTGCCAATTCTCTCTTCTTTGTCAAGTAATTGTAGATACATATATAGTACTCTATTTGCTATTCAAATTGGATTCCAACATACTATTTCTTTTCAATCTTTATTTAATGCCAAGGGCCCATGCTTGAACAGGTTATGCGCAGTGTTCTCAGATCATCGAAAATGATGCATGGCCCTCCATTATATGTACCAATCATCACAATATCAATAAAAGAATATATGGAGAAAAAAATAAAACTGTTAAAAACATTTGTGTTGTTTATTTATAAATATATATTGTGAACAAGATCCAAACGTAATTAACTTCGTAATGACGTCCCGTCCATTAATTTCTATAACTCAAAGTAATATATGTGAGTAAACTAATTAATATTCTCTGCGTTTTAGCAAAACATCAAATCCAGTAGCGTTAATGCCACACACTAAGAAATTGGGAACATCGAGAGGTAGAAGAAATTAAGAATGAAGCCGTTTCGTAGCTAACATTAATACTCTAATCAATATAAACCCTCCTCGGATGATCCTTACGTTGCTGTGCATATGTTAATCCGTTTGAATACAAAGAACCAAATTGGAGAATCCTTAGTTGGCACATTAATTAATGCTTGCCACTGGGTTTTGTTTCATTCGAGCGAACAAGTATCCTAAATATAGGATTTGCTTGATGGATGTGATTTGATAATTATAGAGCGGTGATTCGTCGTGACTTCCCATTTAATATTTACTAATATTTACTCGACGCCATCGTGTTTTGTTGCATTCGAATGAATGAATGACATTACAATAATACTAATTCTTTTTATCTTAAACATAATATCTAAGCTAGTTGATGGACATGGTTTGGTAAATACTTTTCTTGGCCTATTTGCAAGGTATTTTGAATATGTTTTACAGAGATTAAGAAAAATCTTAAACTGCATTAACTCTTCATTAAAATATAGCAACTTTTCAACTTTATCTCTATTTATTATGTACTCATTTTAAAAAAATAACCATCTACACTATAATAAATAAAGAATAATATGGTACATTCGTGATAAAAATTTAATAAAGTGATGTATAAATAGAACCAAAAAAATCTTCTCTCTCTGCTCTATATATAAACTCTCTTGATCTACTCTGTCTTTCTTATTTACTATTAACCCACATTATTCATATTTCTTACACAATGGTAACAAATAATAAACTGATATAAAGTTAATTGAAGGAAGGAGCTAAAAGTAGGAGTAATTACGTATATAATAAGGAAGGCGTGGCTTGCTGGGTTGGGAAATCGAGGAGGGCGTCAAGAAATTGTCATTTTGTCTCCTTAAAGCAAGCTAAGGTGGAAACAAAGAGAAAGTGTTAAAGAAAGAGCCAAAAAATCTGGAGCAGCATGGCATGGTCTTCTTTTGTTGGAGCCCAGACTGCAATTTGCAGAGCATAATAATAATATAGTAATCCAAATACACATAATTGAATGCCTCGCTTGTCCTTGTGCCCCCCATCATATCACGCAGACACATAATAATATTTAATTAATCCGAGCCCTTTATAGTTTATGGAGGAGAGTGAACTTTCTGGGAAAGCTCCATATATGGGAGTCTGGCTGGTGATGATAATGTCCAAGAAATGGGAAAACCCTAATTGAGGAATTTACCAGAACGGCACCAACCTATGAACGGATCATTGTGATGAAGAAGCAACGCCTGTCCCAGAGCAGCTGGCAGCACATATAAAGTAACACTCTCGGATCAGACTGCGAAACATGAACCTAATTAATTAATTAATTAATTCTGCTCTTTCATGGAATCTCTTCGGTCACTTTTTGTCGATTTTACATTGTATGTGTCGTATCCATTTGGGAGATTGACTGAGGCTCTGAGGCAAAACAACTTCACTCATTATATGGGGTAATTTTAAGAGATCAGAGATTAATTATAACACAGTACTAAGTGTCTGTCTGTCTGTCTGTCTATCTAGATGTATCTGTCGAAACTAAAACTAAAAGACGTATATCCAAAGAAGGATGTTTAATTTACGTAAAATCCAAAGTGCGCGGTGAAGACTCAGAGCGTCTGAGCACAAGCAAGATCGACACATGATAAGCTAATTAACTAATTATACGTTTACTATATATTTAGTATATATTCCTCCGGTACTAAATATAAGACTCATTTAACTAATTTAATTAGATTAAAGAAGTTAGGTAAGTTAGTTAATTATAAAAAATGTGACACGTTTTTTCTAAAATACCATAATCATTTTTCTTAATACTTTCTCTTCCTCTTCTACTTGATTATCATTGAGGGAGTATTTATAGGGATAATTTAAAAAAAATTGATAAATATGATAAATGAGTCTTATATTTAAGACCAAAATTAACTCAACAATTGAGTCTTATATTAAAGACCGGAGGAGTATAATTTAGATGGGGGTGGGAAAGGGATAGTTAATATAATACTCTTCTGGTCCTTAATATAAGACCTATTTAACTAATTTAATTAGATTAAAAAAATTAAATAAGTTAGTTAATTATAAGAAATATGACATGTTTTTCTTAAAATACTATAATTATCCTCTTTAATACCCTCTATTTTTTTACTTGATTATGGTTGAGGAAGTATCAATAAAGATAATCCAGAAAAAATTAATAAATATGATAAATAAATTTTATATTTAAAACAAAAATTAACTTAATAATTAAGTCTTATATTAAGTATCGGCAAGCTATGGTAGAAGGCAAGGGTGGAGGGCGTGATTCCACGCATAATATTGATGTCTATCCAAAGCCGTAACTGCGAGAGGTCGTTTAGCTTTTATGAGGAGCCTGAATGTGGACGAATTCGTATGTATGGATCACAGCATTTTTAAAATCTCTGCACCGAATTCCATATAATCCCTCCATTCATTTCTTGAAACGTGTACGTACGTTCCTTCCTTTAACCACACTTTCATTTAATTATATCACAATTTTATTTATTTATTTCTTAATTTCTTCACATGCATGACATGCATAATCCTTACATACATATATATATATATATATATATATTCATACACTACTTCATTCTTTTTACTGTATAAATCTCACCCGAGTTTGAATTCAAATCACACATGCCGCTGAAGTTTATATTTGTATTCACGATGAGATAATCGCATTTACATACATATATATAATTTCCCTAACTCTTCATGTTTAATTTATATGATTATGATTATGATTGTTTGTCTAAAGCTATTAATCTGGATATATTAATTAATAATAATAATATCACAGCCTATTTGACTTTATATCAGAATGACCAAAAGAAAATCATGAGCTCATATATTGAATTCAAATTTGATTTTTCCTTTTCACAAGAAAGTTATATTTTTAAATATAATTCAAATTCAAAATTCATAAAGATTGGCATTTTAACAAGTGGTGAATAATATACTTCCGTTAATGTCAATGTGCATGATTCACGATCTCACTAACAGTAAAATTCCTGGAGCACTAAATTATTTTTTTATTCAAATTTTAATAATTCTTTTATTGACTAATGTGACAAAAACCTGTCATCTCTGGATTTCAATCCAAAATTAGGACACGTGGCGGGGAAGCTTTTGTCATCGCCCCAGCCTCCTCTAATCTGCGAGTAAAGAGACAAAAAGGACCCATTTCACCACCCAAAAAAAAAAAAAAAGGACCCCATGCCAAGGTGGCACCTCGCACGTCCTTGCCCCCTGGGCCCCGCCTCTTCACGTTCTTCCCGGACATAGTACACCCACCCTCGGACGGAGTCAAGTGGGGGGTGTCCTTGGACTCCATCTCCGCTTTTGTGTTTTATAATAATTTCTCTTAAGAAAAATATAATTCGAGCTTTATTCATGAAAATAAATAATTAAAATAATTAAGAATTACTATGATGAAGAAATAAGTAGCTGCCATAATTATTTTTCTTTAAAAAAAAAAAAAGAAACAGAGAAAGAGAGAGAAGGAAGAAGCGGGGGATATGAATAGGCGAACTCTGAATAGGATACACTAAAAAATCGCTAAAGTCTGTGCGGGTTACGTGAATAAAGTCAAGTAGCCAGACGCGACTTTGTGGTCACCGAATCCATGGCATCTTTTATCTTTTCTCCACATTTATCAATTCATTATTATTTTTTTTTTTTTTCAAAGGCATAGGAAAAAGCCAAACCCCTTCATAAACCCCACCATGCTAATGCATGCCTTTTTCCTCTCTCACCGCCTGCCACTCCACATCACATCGGACTCACTCTCTCTCCTCACATTCACCCCCCGGCCCCCGCACATATATACCACCCAAATATTTATAGCTTCCATCACACATATATACATACATATATATACACATACACACCCCTATCATCCCCTCACCATCTGTCATATTTTCTCTTCCCCACTCTCTCAAGCTCTCATGGCCGTCGAAGCTCACCATCTCAATCAATTCTCCTCGCAACTCTTAGCCAATCGGTATGTTCCTTCATTCTTTCCCTTCCTTCTCTCCTTGCTCTTCTCTTTCTGTTTCCGTTGATTGTATCTCCATCTCACCGGCATCCGATTTGTTTTATTTGCAGAGACATTGTTGGTTCTGTTCAGCCGAGCATGAATCTCTACAGCGCCCAGATGAACGCTTATAACTCCTCCCTTCTACCGTTATCGGGGACCACCACCGCCACCGACTGCAATCCTCTCCTTCCGGCGCCTTACAATTCTCTCATCGTCGATTCTCTTCCTCAGAAGACTCCCATCAAATCCGACAGTGGCCTCTCCCACAATCTCCCCCTGGAGTCCAGAAAGCGTTCCAGAGATTCTATGAATTACCCTCTCCTCTCCTGCAAGAATACTGCCGACAATGATGAAGCCTGTGCCGCTTTTTCGTTTCTCGGCCAGGACATTTCTCTCCAGATCCATCGGCAACAACTCGATGTCGACCGTCTCATTGCCCATCATGTGAGTGCTTAATTACTTCGTCATCACCTCAACCGTGTGCATCTATTTTGTCCTACTTGTTGGTTTTTCAATCCGACTGGGACGATTGTTCAGAGTTTCTGATCCTTGCTCTCTTTGGGATTCGGTTACAGATGGAAAACGTGAGGGCAGACTTAGAGGAGAAGCGAAAGAGGCAGGCGAGGAGGATTTTAGAGGCAATCGAAGCGGGGATGATGAAGAGGCTGAGGGCGAAGGAAGAAGAGATGGCCAAGATTGGGAAACTGAACTGGGCTCTGGAGGAGAAGGTGAAGTCGCTGTGCGTGGAGAATCAAATATGGCGGGATTTGGCGCAGACCAACGAGGCCACAGCCAATGCCCTCCGCACAAATCTGGAGCAAGTATTGGCTCAGTTCAGGGACGAGCGTCGATTGAACTACGACGACGGCGCAACCGTCGTCCCCGCAGGGGCAGAACTAATGGACGACGCACAGTCCTGCTGCGGAAGCACAGGCGGCGTCGACGTTGATGACCTCCGAGACGACGGAGGCAGCGACAGGGAAGGGTGGCGCAGGTTGGGAGTGGGCACGGAGGAAAAGGGGGAGGAGGAGGAAGGTAAAAGAAGGATAAAGGGAGGGATGATGAAAAGCAGTGGCAGAATGTGCAGGAAGTGCGGGAAAGAGGAATCGTGCGTGCTGATGCTGCCGTGCAGGCACCTGTGCCTGTGTACTGTTTGCGGGTCTTCCCTCAACTATTGTCCCATCTGTAAATCCTTCAAAACCGGTAGCGTTCATGTTAACATGTCCTGAATTTTGAAAATACTACCCACAAAAAAAAAACAGAGAGAGAGAGAGACAGAAACAAACAAGTTGCACAAAGTGAAGAAAACAGATAAAAAGTTTCTTTGATTCATAGTATATATATGAAGATGGTCCGCTCTTTCCTTAGTTCTTTCCTTTGTTTTGCATATATTTTGTAGTTTTAACGTACATATATCAGTAGACAGGTCACCGGAGATTGTTGTGTTCATGAATTCGGAAGTGTTAATTAGCAGCCTAAGCTGATGAATATGTGTAATTATATTAATTGAGTTTTTTTTGGGGGGGGGGGATGAATGAAAAGATGAAATGGCGGGGAGCAGCTGCGAATGAATGCATGAGGGAGAGTACTGAAGAGATGAACAGTGGAGGGGGAAGGAGTCGCAGTGAATATAAACCTGGGTGTCACTTGTGTGATAAGAAAAGGGGAAATGTGATGGGAGTCGACGACAGAAGGAAGCATTGGCATGAGTATAACAGTAGTAATTAGGAATAATCGAAAGTGTGAGGAGGGAGGAAGAAGGGGGGAGAGGAGGAGATATTGCTCGGGGGGTCCCAGCGGGAGCCTCGTGTGTCGCTTGAAGAGCGGCATCCCCTCTTCTGCACGTGATTCTGATGCCCTCTATTCATTATTCAATTAATTAATTGAATCCAATCAGTCAATCACCCACCCACGACGACGCTGCTGCTTTGATTCATCTTTATTTAATTAATTACTGGTGATGCTCATCATCAAGTTCAAGTGGAGTAGTAGTGGAGCTGCAGTTGCCACCTCAACTACTGGGTTGCATTATAATAATGATGATGATGATGATGTGTAATTGAAAGGAAGCCAGGGAGGGGTTGTTTCTGTTTAGGAATCTGAGTTGCCGGTGGCCGACGTTTTCACCCAAAACAGAAACCTTCCCCCCCTTGCTTTTCATATTCAAATATACATATCCCTGCGTATGCTTTTCTTCCAAGACCTGCATTTGATCCCCATTTTAACCCTTTCTTGTTATTTTTTTGTCCTTAATATATGACTTAATTGTTACGATGATTTTGGTTCCCAACAAAACATTGTCATCTTTTCATGACCACCACCAGTCCACCATATTATCAAGCCATCTCTATAATCACCAAGTATAATTATATATGCATTCATGTACAGAATATAAGATTAAAAATATTTATGGTAAAACAAGTTAAACCGATACAAGAGTATGACTATGTATGAGCGCCATTTTTTCTCTACAACCCGTGCTTTCTCTCTCTTCTTTCTTTTCTTCAACAACGAACATCAATATTCATGTCTGGATTCACTTGAATCAAACACAGGAACAGCTCTTCTCACGTTTTACTCCTCCGGTTTTTAAGATAGGACTTAATTGTTGAGTTAATTTTGGTCATAAATATAAGACATATTTTTTATATTTATCAGTTTTTCCTAACTTACCCTTATGGATACTCTCTCAACCACAATCAAATAGAAGAGAGAAAGAAGATATTAATGAAGATGATTATGGTGTTTTAGGAAAAACATATCATATTTCTTATAATTAACTAACTTACCTAATTTTCTTAATATAATCAAATTAATTAAATGGGTTTTATATTAAGGATCAGAAAAGTATTTTCTTTCCTCACAAAACTTCCCTCTGAAGGCCGCCCCATCCAATTCTCGTTGTTTTCCCTCCTGTCGTCGTCTCTCTCCGGCCATACAATGTATATATCACCACGTACCTCACAATGATACCGCATCCAAATTAGGCAATAAACTAAATCGTTCACAACCACGTACGCAATTATATTTATCATACACTCCGTCAAAGAATAATACAATAAACTGCGCATACGAATGAGACTTTTAAAATAGTTATTGACTGTAGTTTTTATGACACATAAACTATCCATACATACAAACACACAATGGGGGTGGTACGTAGAAGGTCCAATGAAGTTAGTGGGTAAATAAATTATAATATGAAGGGGGATGATGATATGATGAGTGTTGGCTGGTGAATTTGACTGG